ACCTTGCCATTGGGATGCTTCAAACAGGACGTTCTCAGACGGACGTGGCCACTGAGTTTAGAGTGTCACAGAGAGTCATCAGCAGGTTGCAACAGATAAAGACAGACGGGAAGAGTCACAGAAAGGTGTAGAAGTGGACATCCTTTGACCACATCCCATGCTGATGACYGCTACWTTGTGAACAATGCCCTGAGAMACCAGATGATTAATTCCACTCAACTCCAGGCATGGTTAAGGGAGGTGAGAGGCACCCAAGTGTCACGTCAGACCATTTGAAACCGGTTACATCAGCRTGGTCTGCGTGCTAGAAGACCTGTARGGTACCTGACCACACCACCAGRCACAGGYGTCATCTTCTTGCAAGGCCCAGGGAGCGTTTACACGGGACGAGGAACCAGTGGGCCTCAGTGCTRTTCTCTGATGAAAGTAGATTCACGTTGAGCAGAAATGATGKYSRCCAGCGATGTTGGAGACGTCAAGGAGAGCGCTATGCATCAGCCACTGTTGTCACCARACCAGCTTTTGGTGGTGGAGGTGTTACAGTGTGGGCAGGTGTGTCCATTCGGTACAGAACTGTCCTACACTTAGTGAATGGTACAGTGACAAGCCCACACTACCTGAATAACATCATTAATCCAGTGACTGTGCCCCTACATGAACAACACAGGCCTGATTTCATCTTCATGGACGACAATGCTCCAGCTCACCGAGGTCACATCATCAGGGAACGGCTGTTGGAGACTGGTGAACCTCAAATGGAATGGCCTGCACTTTCTCCAGACCTGAATCCCATTGAAAACCTGTGGGATCAGCTGAGTCGCCTTGTAGAGGTTTGAAACTCTGCACCCCAGAACCTGAATGACCTGAGGGCTGCCCTTCAAGAACAGTGGGATACCATGCCCCAGCAGACAATAGGTCCACCTGTGAACAGCATGAGACGTCGTTGTCCAGCTGTAATTGATGCTTAAAAGGCACATGATGAGTTAGAGACGTTGAAATGTTTTGTGTACCCACAATTGTTAATTTTTGTTTCAATAAATTGTTAGAGTTGAGGAAATCACCAGTGCATTCTTCTACTTCAATGTCCTACTTTCATGATATATCATCCCTGTAGCGTGAACTTTTTACATTTTCCATAAAATTCACCTAAAAGCCAAACATCCCTAACTTTGTGTGTGTGTCTGCTTGTGTTTTTGGGTGTGTGGGTATTGTGTATATTACTTAGCGAGGTAATTATTGTATGCATGTATGGATGTGTATGTCTTGTATAAATGTGCATATGGGTATTTGTATACGTTTATAGTYGTTTGCTGTGTTTTTCTTCATTTTGATGGTCAGAGGTCAGGTGTGTTGTCGTGTTATTGGTGTATATTTCACGTGTAACATTTCTATCAGTCTCTCTGCAGTTCTTACATTTTTTTCTTCTTTACTCTAGTGTACATATTTAAAAAGGTCACTAATGATGCAGAAATTAAGAATTTAACAATTCAGTTTTGTTTTCTACTGAAGTGGCAAAAAAACATCTATTTTTTTAAATGAAATACAAACATGTTAAGATTAAATGTGTTTTCACCTGCACTAGTCTGCCCCAKGGAAGCTGTGGCTACAATGTAGCTTACCACCCCCAGTGTGTGAATGGGTGAGTGACGTGATGTGAACTGGTTTGGAGCCAGCAGGGACTTAAGAGCTCTACAAGTTCAGACTGTTTACCATTTTTAAAAAATGACATCATGCTCAATGTTACATTTGGTTTGCAGTTTAGCCCAGTTTTAAGTGATCAAATTCCCTACAGGTCTGAAGAAAAAAAACTACAAACGACAGTTTAATTTACAAATGAAATCTTTATGTATTATTTTCTTCAAAAGAAATGAAGCTCAAATCCAAAAAGTTAAGTTAGCCTGACGTCCASACAAGCCAACAGGCTGCTACAGGTTCCCTCTGCACTTCCACCACGAACAGGTCTTCAGAAAACATTTTTACATACTTTTGCACAGAAAACAGTTTATTTAGGTAAAAATCATACAATTTGAACGGCCGAACACTTCCCATGCAGTGCAGTAGCCTAGAGGCTAAAACAGAAAAGCAAAGTGTAGATGTGAGGAGCTCCAGCGTTCTCCTGAGATCAGGTAACAAGTGTCTGGTTCTGCTGGCAGAGCCTCCTGCTGTTTCCCCGAGCAGCACCAGCTGCTCTGAGAAATGATTGCTGAAGACCTGCTCCAGAGCCAGACAACTCAAGAGACATCATATATGCAAAAATACAACAACGAACCACATTTGTTTCTTCAACGATTGCCATGTGCCAGACATTAACTAGAGACAAAACACTTATCTGATCAAATTAAATCAATAATGCACACATTTGGAGAATCTGAACAYGTATACATCGATATGCTTTAGGAAATTTACTTTGACAGCTTTACTCCAAACCTTGGCATGTTTCTTTGATTCCATTTTGAATTTTGAAGATCAATCAACATATTTTAATAGATGACCGGCCCTGAGGAGGCCCTGAGACAGCTGTGGATCTTATATACCCAGTCCAATGGATATCAAACATTTAAAAAGCTCACTACCCCAAAAATATAGAAATTTCACTCATACAGGTGACATTCAACATTCAAGTGCCAGTGTTTTTTCTGCTGTCTTTTGGTCAAGTTTCTGAAACTTTCAAAGAATCACTTTGAGGCTTACAAAAATAAATATTTGTCAAAAATGCTTAATAAATTACACAAAACTAGCAGCAAAAGTAGAATCTAGAAATCTGTGCAAATGGCTAAATTCCTCCCCAACTGCTGAATCCCCTGGTCCCAAAACAAAATAACTCCTGGTTTTAAAGGTTGAGGAGGCCTTCCCCTGTGTAAACAAGCTGCGTTACTTCCTCCACACACACACACACACACACACACACACACACACACACA